TTGACCAGTGGCAGCTACAGGTTTTGTTATCAAAAGGATTTGATAACAGTATAAGAAGTGTGCACTGTAGGGGCCGGGAAAGGTGGCAGACTGGCGTTCGTAAATTAATTTTCTCACAATTTGTGAGAAAGTGAACTTACCTTTTCAATCTTTCACCTGCAATGGCCAGCGGCAGATTCTCTCTCCATCTGTATTAAAGAACACTCACTCCAAAACACACCACTGCTTTGTCATTTCTTCACACCAGACAGTAATACAGGTCTGCTCCACAAGGCAAGATCAATAGTTAAAGAGCAGCAAAACCAACAACAACCCATCAACAAACTGGAACTTTGCCTGCTATTAGTTACCTAACTTCATGCACATTATCATTGTTCTCTGTCATTAAATCAGCCTCAAGGCCTGTTAAGCAAGGTAGGAGAGAGAACTCGTGTTCAGTTGGCTCACCTCAATAATATGGGGGCTCACACAGCTGGTACCAAGGCACATGAAGGTGTTTCAATGGTAAATGAAGAAGGCCTTGCACAGTTTGCTGAACCCTGGATGCTAGAGGGTTGTCCTGCTTGCTCTTACAACCACCCCAACATTAGAAGGCGCCATCTTGGAGGCAGATTGGCTCCCCGCTGGCAAGGTAACAGCTTTCTTGGCAGTCATCATTTATGGGTAGGTTTACCTTGAATGTGGCCATTTAAGCTACCAGTGGGTGAGGAGCCAGAGGCATCGATGAGGTATAAGGCACTCTCATTTTTTTTCGAGATGTAGAGGCTGCCAATGAGAAGACAAATGAGTACTAATCAGAAGCAGCCTGGAGTGTACACAGCGCTCCTTCCTTCGGCAAAACCCAAAGCTCCAACAAGTCCAGCCAATGGAGTTTGTCATTTCTGAAAAAGTTCAAAATGCCACCCGCTGCCTTTGTTTTACATCCTAATGCTCTGTAAGTATTTATCCAGAAAGAGAGAATAACAGGTGAGAGAACAAAAATAACAGACAATGGGGGCTTCAGTGCCCCCCATGGAGTCCACCAGGACCACCGACTGAGACACCTGATGCAGATTAACCGACACAATCGTCTTGATGAAGGAGCTCAGACATGGGCCTCCGCAGTCACATGTTTTAGCCACAGACAGATCATGGCAGAGATGCTTGGGAATGAGCTGCGGTCCATATGGGATTCTGCAAACAAAAGAACAATATCAGCATTTCATGGAAAGAAAAAACATTGGTATGGAGGATCCCAACCAGCTACTAGGAAATCCAAGCACCTGAATTACAAGTCTAAACGGCATTAGTCAGGCTGGGTTTGGGTTTCCTAAATTGCTGAATGAATGCTGGTTGTCAAAACAGGACAAACCCCCTCATGCAAGTCATTATCGCAACTGTGGTTAAATACAATTTGAGCTGGTTGCTATGGACAACAGCTGTACAAGACCACGTTGTCAGGTCATTAATTTCAACAGCAATCTTCCCATACGTTTATATGTGCATTTAACGTATTTAATGCATGTTATTTACCTGTGAAAGCCTCCCTTGTGTAGACATCCAGCATGCGTTCAGGGGCTTACAGCCTTTGATTTCTATCGAAGGCTCTATGCAGCACATGTGGCTCCCTGGCAGGTAATACACCTGAATTTCACTTTGTACGGCCCCGGGCGTCCATGTACATAAGGCTTTAGAACAGGGGTAAGCAATATCTGGCCATCAAGCTGTGGTGCAACTACAAATCTCACACGGGCATAATCCCCAGAGGCAGATGCATGACCGGATATGTCATTTCACCACAACTGGAGGGCCGCAGTTTGCCTACCCTTGCCTTAGATGTAGCGGTTGCATTGTTTTTTTTTTTATATCTTTAAAAAGAGAACTATGAGGTGAGTGTTTTTCACTCACCTCATAGTTCTAGCCGACCTGTGACAATGAGACTGTCACAGGTCGGCTCAGTAGATCAGGAGTTGAGCAAACACATACCGGCGTTCGCTCACCTCCCGATCCTGTCACGGCTCTCTGCCGTGACAGGGGAGGGGCTGGATTCCCCCCTCCCCGCTCTGATTCGCCAGCGCTGACTGGCGGAACGGACGGGGGGAGGAGGCGGGTACAGCTGGCTCTGCCTTTAGATAGGCAGAGCCAGCTGTCAGTCACGCAGCTTGGCGGATCCCGGCACAATTGTCGGGATCCACTTCAGCGCCTTAGTATACCGCGAGCAGCTGCTCACGATATACTGCGGCGTCTCAGTATACCGCGAGCTACAGCTGACGGGAGGACGCTAGTTTGTGTCCTCCCGTTACCCTAAGGAAAACTATGGGGAAAAGACTTAACCCCATAGTTCTCCTTTAAGGCTTTTGTAACCGGTGATCCTGCCAGTAACACAATTGCTCTCTCTGGGTGCCAATGCAGCGGTGAAATATCAGGTCTCTGGTGCTGCCAAATAGAGCGGTGCTATAGGACAGAGCTGTTTAAATTTATTTACAGACACAAATCCTTTGGCAGGTAAAGCAGTTCCCTTATATGTATGTTATCTGTGTATACAGACGTATGCCTGGAGTGTTGCTTTAAAACGGAGAATTCCTACCTGTAACGAATAGTTGCCCTTGAAGCAGTTTCCAGCAGGCTCAGAGGGACTTTCAGCTGAATGTCGGGAACCATAGGAGTTGCGCCTACAAATGGATTGCCAAAAAAGTCCAGTTTCTCAAGCACCAACATTCTGAAGCTGTTCGGGAGACAGGGAAGCTTGTTTTTGGTGGCTGAGAGAAAGCGCAGTTTAGACAGCTTCCCTATGCCAAAAGGCAGCTGAACAAGTTCATTGCTATCGAGCTTGAGACTTACGAGTTCCCGGAGATTACAGAATTGTATCGGGAGCGCTTTCAATTTATTCTCGCTGAGATCCAATGCCTTCAGAGAATTCCTGAGGGTAGAATTACACAGCTCCACCTCGAAGGTCTCTAGAAAATTGTTCTGAAGATGTAATTCTTGGAGACACACGAGGTCGCCAATTGTCTTGGGAAGTTTCTTAATATGGTTGTTGCTTAGGTCAAGTTTCTGAAGCCTCTTCAAGCACAGCATTCTCATGTCCACCCGAGCCAGCTTGCAGAAAGAGACCTGAAGATGCTCCAAAGAATAGGGGAAGGTCTTTGTGAGGGGATAATCTTTCTTGCAGGTAATGATCAGCCTAGCTCTGGGTTTTTCAATTTCTGAGGTTTTGGCAGGAATCAGACGTGACAATGGCACCGGGCTTGCATCCGTGCCTCGATGTGCCAAGCCCACAGCGGAAATGAAGTTCTTTAGATTAGAGACATCGGCCTGAAAAACAGAACATCAAATAACATATATAATATTCCTCACCCGTTAAAAAAATCTACTGTCAACTTTCTAAATATCTCTTTCTCACTATTACATGCAGTGTGTTAAAATGATGAATTTAGTGGTCCATGAGGTCCGAAAGGCTGGCGACCGCTGCTCTAGTGCTTTCACACAGGATTTTAAACTTCTAAGTCTGCCGGGAAGTAACCTGTGCCTCCCAGAAGCATCATAGGCTGGGCTCAGGTCATTTCTTTTTTTTGGGGGGGGCAAACGCTTTGTTTACAAAAAGGGGTTGCCAACCCCATGCTCCATTTATGTAGGGGGACCATGTGGGCTGGCAAAAAAGTGGACCTTAAATTTGCCATGGATGTGTATATGTAACTTTTTTTTTTTGCATCTTGGACAGAATAGGTAAGGGTTAATTCCCCCGCCTATTTATTTTTGCTGCCTGTGATCCACTGGGGAGAAATTCCCTCACTTAAGGTGGCCATACACATTACAACCCTTGCAAGACTTTTGTCATGTGAGGGTTGTAAAGTAATAAAAAAAACAAAAAAAAAAAAACAACGTACTATCTGCCCATCTTGGACAGGCAGATCGTACTTGCGATCATCGCATGCCCGCCCGGCGGAGGGGCAGGCTTCCGATGACCGTAATGCTGAACGAGCAGTGTGCGCGTGCGCACACCGGCCCGTTCGGCATTTGTCTCCCGAGCATGCCACAAACCAGCCGAAAATCGTATGATTTTCAAACATGCTCGTTAGACAAAAGACGTGCGACCGTACAGTAGAAACGGTCGCACGTCTTCCATACACTGCACGATTATCGTACGATCGTGGGATTTCCCGCAATTATCGTACGATAATCGCACAGTCTATGGGCACCTTTACTGTCCTGGAGACACAATAGGAAATCTCTAAAATGATACACTTTAAACTGTTGACATGTTATCCCCACACTTAATAAAGCAGATTTCTAATTTCAACATAAATCCTGTTGTTCCGGACTATTCCGCCAGGTTTTATTAGGAGGTAGATGCACTCAGCCAACACAACAGAAACAAACAGTGACATCTGCTGGGGAGAAAGTAAATGATCTCAGAATAAATTACAGTGACCGATACATGAGCTGCAAATAGACAAATATGGAGGCCGTCACTGATGACCTTCTGTAAATGCTGATTTATTGGCCATCATTCCGATCCTCTGGTTTCAGTACTTTTTGTAATGACTGGTCTAAAACTCAGATTTCTCCATTCAGTTAAGGCCTTCTGCTATTCTTGTGGTAGTTGGTTACAACAAAAAATGATGGCGACTCCTCGTCCATCCAATCGGGAAACCCCATAGTGGAACGTGTGTAACACACTCCAAAAAGCTTAGGCCCCATTCACTCCTGTATGTTTAGGTGTGATTAGTGATTTGTGTGTCAGGAACTTGCGATTTCCTGCAGCAGGAATCCCTAATCTGCTGTTTAAGTGGCAGCTGTCATCCATTCAAGTTAATGGCAGTCGCTGCATTTGAACGCCAGCACACAGCATGTAATGGTATGTGATACAATAACATGCGGTGAGGAATCAATCACTATTCCTGGATGCACAATTAAAATTTATACTCACCCGATGCTCCGAGCCAGCTTCTTCTTAAGCTGGCCACGCACCTACAGGTTATCTGCAGATTTTTTTATGGTCAGATGGAAAAAGTGCAACAGATTCCTCCATCTACGCTAAACTGTGTGGCTGGAAGAATCTCCCACTGGGCCAAGCTTCAGTGTCTTGCTAGTCGGCCCTGATGGCTGTCAAAATGCCTGAACAATGCTGGCATCCAATCAGATTGTTCAGGTATTTTGAAAGCCAGCGGGGCCGACTAGCAAGATACTGAGATTTGGCCCAGCGGGAGATTCCTCCATCCACACAGTTTAGTAGGGATGCACCAATACCGATACTAGTATCGGTATCAGTGCCGATGCCGAGTATTTGGGCGAGTACTCGTGCTCGCCCAAATGCTCTGATACTTCCTGTATCAGGAAGCTGGGCAGACTTGTGACGAGGGAGCATGGATCCGGCTTCCCGGCCAAATCAGGAAGCGGGGCAGTGTGTAATGACGCGGCGCCTGGCTTCCTGATTGGCTGGGAAGCCGGCTTCATGCTCCCTCGTCACCCCAATGATGGGGAGCATGGAGCCGGCCAATCAGGAAGCCAGGCGCCGCGTCATTACACGCTGCCCGGCTTCCTGATTGGCCAGAAAGCCGTCTCCATGCTTTCTCGTCACATAGTGACGAGAAGCATGAGGACTGCTTCCCTGCTAATCTGAAGCCGGGTGGTGAGTCATTACACGGCACCTGGCTTCCTGAATGGGAATCGCCGAGTACCGAAAAAATAATATTGGTGCTCGATACCCAAATACCGGTATCGTTGCATCCCTACACAGTTTAGAGTATATGGAGGAATATGTGGCACTTTTTCCATCTGGCCAGCTTTAGACCGGTCCTTCCAACATCCCCCCCCCCTCTGCAGTGGTCTAAGGTCCCATAAATCATCATGTCTATATACAGTACTCAGACGTGAGGACGCCGAGGAAGATGACAATGTGTTGTTGTGGAGGAGACAGACTGGAGGGAGCGCCATGACAGCTGGCCAGCTTAGTGCTTTGGGTGACTATAACTGTTACTTTTGTCCCAAGACACAAACCAGCACTTGACCCTTGCACTTGGTTAAGAAAATGTTTTCCTGGAGATCTTCTTTGAGAATTCCTGTGGAAGAAATAATACAACATACCTTGCTGAGACAGATATCCACAGCTGGCTCTCTAAGCCTTATTGTTGCTTTTCCTTCATTTAAAAACTTGGAGAACAAGTTTTCGATGTTTTCTTGTAGCTGTATCAAAACAAAACACAACTTCTTTAGAACAACCTTCACCACTGAAATCCACAGCTAGTGCAGAAGAATGCAACGGCATGTGGAAAAAAACAGAACTACTTCTCTGTCCTAAAATAAATACATTATAGGACAGTATGCATCTCAGTGCAAGGGCTATTTGTCATACACCAGACAGGCTGCATCTCCATTATTAAACACATTTCTAATACCGCTATGGATCAGCTCAAACTCATTATGACCGGATAGACCGGATATAGAAAGCTTGTTCTTGGCCAGAGCAATTCTACTCAAACTTCTCCCTTGTTAAAGTAAAACTAAGGCTCCTGTGTGACGTTCTAAACAAGTCCCAAATCCAGTTACTATGTGAAATTGGGCCCCTGCTTTGGTCCAAGGACTAAAGCGGGGGCCCAATCTACTTGTCGTCCCCCCTCATGGCAATCTACTTGTAGTCGGTCTAAACAAGTACCAAATCCAGTGTGCCTGCATGGCATCCAGCATCTCCAAAGATCATTACTGCGCCTGCATGCCCATCAGTTCAACAGTACAGTGGACCTGGGCATGCATGCCAGCACAGAGGTCCCTGCGTGCCCGCTCTGGCACGCATGCCATCAGTTCGCCACCACTGCCCTAGGTCCTTCTTTCCCAGTGACAGTCGTGTTGTCACCTCTGTCCTCTTCCCCGCTACATGCAGAAGATGCTCTCCTGTTGCCATGGTAACTGACAGCCTCCCCAGTGTCATGGTGACAGAATCAGGACCCACCTTATATCTGGATCCGGCCTTGTCCTTCAGGGTGCAGATCATCAAGTAGATGGGCCCCCGTTGGCCGGACCCCTTTTTCTCCTCCTGTCTCCCAACAGACAGCACAGCCCGAGTGCCCTTCCCTCTGTTTCTCATTCCGAATGTCGGCAGCATCCGGTTAATCACCTCCACCTCACACTGCAGCCTCATGACTCCCTAGTATCCCGTCCAGCGGTCCTATTCCTCCGGGGGTGATAGAGAGCGGGCCAGACAAACGCCGCTCTATCCTGCTGCGTCTCTAACAAATTTGTGTTCCCGCTTTGCGCGGGTGACGTCAGACTTCCTTTAGTCCTCCAACGTAAATCGAGAAGGGGAATGAGAAAACGTCGCTCTATCCGGTGTTCTGGTACCTTCGCTGACAAATTTGTGTTCCCGCTCTGTACGTGTGACGTCACTCTCCCTTCGGTCCTCCGTGGTAATAGAGCGAGAAGGGGACTGAGAGTCGCTCTATCCCGTCGGCTTTGTTCCCTAGGCCGGAAGTCACTTTGTTGTCAATGACTGTCACTGGTGTAAATAAACACAATATAAATCCCTGGCTTAGGACACAGGTAGCTGCACGGTTGTTCCACATACTTCATGCACAGTGCAATAACGTGTGATCAAATGCATATTTATGCGTGGTATTATGTGTGTTTGCAGTGTCATTCAATAAAAATGGCACCGATGCACATTTAGACTGGGTTCCCACATGGGCGTTCGAAATATGCGCTTATGACGCATGATTTGCGGTCCAGGAAACGTGCGTCAAACGCGTGTTTACGAGAGCTATCTGGCTGTATCCTAATGGATACGCGTGGAAATACGCCTCAAAGAAGCTCCTGTACTTGTTTGGGCATAGGGTGTTTTTCAGCACGTTTCGACACGCTGAAATACACCCAGGTGGGAACCATGCCCACAGGAAATAATGGGATTTCACTTGCTGAGTGTTGTTCAGCGATTCGATCAGCGCTGAAAAACGCCCAGGTGTGAACCCAGCCTTACAGTAGCCGCTACAGTGCACCACATTGCACATACGGAAAATGCTCCTAGTGTGTGTTTTCATGTGCAATGCAACCTCCCTTCCCCCCACCCGACACACACAACAACTTTGATGGCACCCAGCCAGTGTTTCTGGACAGATTGGTCATATGGCAGATAGGATCCGCTTCTCCTGCACCTGCTGCCTGCCTACATAATATGTGTTTCCATTGGTAGACCGTGTGACAGGGTGACAAAATAGGAGCACATTTAGTAAATAGGAAAAGAGCGCTGTCACTCAATAAGAGGAAGTGCCTGATAAGGACTTGAATGGTAGTATCACCAACTAAAATGTTAGTGACACTAAACTCGGGAGTTACATCTTAAAAATACATTCAAGTACCTTAACTATAACAAACATGTATCTTATTTGTGTATCACTCGGCTGTAGATCCTCAAATCATCTCTGAATTGGTGCTGACACTGTCCTTCCTTCTGGAGGGGGGCTACTTTTCTTCCCCATGGTCCCTGTGTGTGTTGTAAAGTATTCACCGCTCCAAGCTCACTGCTGTGATAGACTACAATCTCACTTTTAGCTAGTTAATTTGTAGTAGGGATGCTCTGATACCTAGCACGAGTACTTCCTGTATCAGGAAGCCGGGCAGCACATCATTACACGCTGCCCGGTTTCCTGATTGGCCGGGAAACGGCTCCATGCTCTCTCGTCACTTGTGATGAGAGAGCATGGAGTCGACTTCCCGGCCAATCAGGAAGCCGGGTAGCGTGCAATGACGCGCTGCCCGGCTTCCCGATTGGTCAGGAAGCTAGCAAATCCGGAAGCCGGGCGCCGTGTAATGACGCAGCGCCCGGCATTCTGATTGGCCGGGAAGCCGGCGTCATGCTCCCTCGTCATCTCATGAATCATAATATTAAGAAAATGACCTTAAAGCATTAGTTTGTATTGCTTTAGAAAAAATGTGACCTGTCCCTTTAAGAAAAAGTATCGGTAATTGGTATCTGCGAGTACTTGATCAAAAGTATCGGTACTCGTACTCGGTCTTAAAATAGTGGTATCGGTGCATCCCTAATTTGTAGGGATGCACCGATACTAGTATCGGTGCCGAGTATTTGGGCAAGTACTCGCCCAAATGCTCCGATGCCTAGCCCGATACCCGAGCTTCCGGTATCAGGTGACAAGGGAGCCTGGAGCCGGCTTCCCAGCCAATCAGGAAGCCAGGCAGCGTATAATGACTCGCTGCCCTGTTTCCTGATTGGTCGGGAAGCTGGCCAATCAGGAAGCCGGGTGCCGTGTAATGACGCGGCTCCAGGCTCTCTGATTGGCCAGGAAGCCAGCTTCATGTGATGAGAAGCATGGAGACGGCTTCCCTGCTAATAAGGAAGCCAGGTGGCGAGTCATTACACACCGCCTGGCTTCTTTAACCTCTTGCCGTCCGCCCGTTAAGAAAAAACGGACGGACGGCAGACTCGCATCAGCGGGTTGCCGTCCCCAGACGGCATTTTTTACCTGCTCGTGTGCGCCCCCTAGCGCGCGCACGGGCAGGAAAGACCCGCTCGTTACTACAGCCGTTAACGGCTGTTTCACATACAACCGATCTTCCGGTATCGGTATTCAGTACTGGCTAGTACCGGGGAAAAAATCGATTCTTGTACTCAATACCAAAAAAACGGTATCAGTGCATCCCTACTAATTTGTACTGAGATTGTAGTCCATCCTGGGAATGAGCGTCCATCACAGGGACCATGGGGAACAAAAGTAGCCCCCCTCCAGAAGGAAGGACAGTGTCGGCACCAATTCAGAGATGATTGGAGGATCTACAGCCGAGTGATACACAGAAAAGATACATTGTTGTTAATAGGGGACTTGAATGTATTTTTAAGATTTACCTCCTGAGTTTAGTGTCACTTTAATGAACTCTGCAGATTTAAAGAGATTGAAATAATTTTTGCAGTGACACGTGTCATGAGGGAATCATGTAGTTGTCTGGCTGTCATGCTTCCACACATTCACAGATACCGGCTCACAACAATAGGTATAAGGGCCCATTCACATCAGTGTATTGCAGTGATATGCGGGTTGAAAGCAAAACTTTCCCAGCACACTTCCCAGCTCGCCTGCAGAAGACAAATTGCACTATTAGAGGTAAAGACAGAGAATCAGGTTGACACGCATGTTACTGCAATGCACAATGACATGCATTACGCACCTTCAGTATGCATCACACCTCTTCGGGGCACCTGCGTTACAGCGTACCATGCTTAAACCTGTCATAAATGATGCAGAAGGGATTTTTGGTCTGTTAGGCTGCCATTCAAATGAACAGACTGCTTTAAGACGTGCACATTAAATGCAACTGGGCCCTCTTTAAGGTGGGGGAAAAGGGGCAGTTGTCCTGGCCCGTCATTCTTGTGGCGCCCAAAGCAGCTCCCCGTCGAGCTTGCAAAAGATACACACGCGGAACTAACAGGGTCACACGTGCAACCGGGCCCTGGCGTTCTGCCACTTGGGGAGGGGGGGAGGTTGACTGTCTGCTTTGCATGATTCTGGCAGCTGAGCTGCCGCCAGATCGCTTCCAGGGGCTGGTATAGTGCACCCCCGCCTGGCATCGCCATCTTTCTTCCATGCTCCGCTGCCCCTCCTGTAGGCCTGGGCCCAACATCATGATAACGTTCGCCCAGGGTCCAATTAATTTTAAAGACGGCCCTGAATGCACAACAGTGGAGTGGGCTCCTATGAGTGTTAACATTCACTTGCCGCATGCTCATTCTGGGTCTCTGACCCACAGCCAGACAACTGACATAGTTAGAACAGGGACAATGGTAGCCCTCCTACGTATCATGACAGGTGCACTTTAATGTCCCTATACTATTGGGAGAATTTATCAAAACTGGAGCAGACAGAATCTGGAGCAGTTTCTCAGGACAACCAATCAGCTTCTCTCTTCAGTTTGTTTAGTTAAGATTTGAAAATGAAGGAGAGAAGCTGATTGGTTGCTGTGCACAGGTGCTCCAGATTTTGCCTGATCTAGTGTTGATAAATTCCCCCCTATGTATATAATAGAATAACAAGAGCACTCTCAGTTGCCTATCACACAAAGGGGCAGATAATGTTACAATCATCTCCACAGCGATCGCGCGGTGCATGGTGGGCCGCATCTGTCACCATAGCGATCAGATCATACCGCGGTGCATTGTGGGCCGCGGTTTGGGAATCTCGGGCCGCGCTGCATGCCGGGAGCGGCCGGCTGGGGTTGATTAGCGCGTGCGCGGCCCCGCCCCTTCCTTTTCCCGAGCGTAGAGACGAGCACGATGGGCCACCAGCAGCTGTACTGGAGTCACCCCAGAAAGTTCGGCCAGGGATCCCGATCCTGGTCTGTGTCCGCTGTGTAGGGGGAGGGGACGGGCTGTGTTGTGTTGGGGAGGACGGGGTCGGCGAGGCTTGGCTGGCGGGGAGGATTTGTAGGCCGCATGGCGTCCCGGGGACAGAGATGGCGGCGCTGACATCTTTGGGCCCCTTGTTAGAGCTAGGTTGGGACAGAGGGTCATTCCATCAGTGCTGTGTCAGGTTTCCCGTCTAGATGTGTGATGGGGCTCTATACTGTCAGGGTGTCTTATTGGATGAGCGGCGTCATGTCTTCCTCCATGGAGATGATGATCACATGGCAATCCCTCACTGAATGTCTTTTAATAGGAGCTGTAGGACTTCTATAAAGGGGGCAATCATCTGATGGTTAGGAGTTATAAATGTAACATTTCAAGTGTCTGTGGACTCCAAAACATTGGTTTATGGAACATTTGCGCAAATACCGTGGAACATAAACACTTGCAACTAGCATGTCTTCATTCTACGTGGCCTCTGCTTTCCGAAAATATATAATCATTGTTTGGGTGTTTAAGGGGGCATGCTAAAAGGAATGACCGAATGGAATGCCCATAGACTTTGACAGGGAAAGAGAATGCCCATAGACTATAATGAAGCCAAACGGAATGCCCATAGAGTATAATGGGAAGCAAAGCATAAGGTAATTTGTACGTGAATCTGAAAAAGATATCAAGTTATCCTTTACCACAGCTCTTCCCCGTGTATAGGGACATCATTTGTAAATTGAAATGACTTTGGATTTCCAGTTTTTCTACGGAATGACACCAAGAATGCCCATAAAGTATAATGGAAAGAAAGATGGGCCTTGGGAGTCTTGTTACAAATAGCGTCAAAGCTCCCAACGTATTACCTATGTCACCAGTGCTCAGAATAAAGGGTCCTGCTGCTGCTCTTCCCCCAGGACCCTTTCCTGCTCCTCCAAATACTTCTGTAATAACTCGTGTTATTCCCTAGAAGAAAACTATGCTGTCAGACAATTTCAATCTTAGCACTTGATAATACACTTGAGGAACATCTGTAAATAAAGGTTAATTTTCTACGCCACACACATTTGCCTGGAAATGAGTTAATTTTTTATGTTTTGCTTTCCCTTATACTCTGTGGGTATTTGTGTCACCACGCTTGCCTTTTCACAAGCATATATGGACAGTTTGCGGTACTGTACTTTGTTGCTGTTTCACGGACGCACGCAGTTTTTAATCTGGGCGTGTTTGGTATCTATTTACTCGGCATAACCTTTTTATATTTTACAAAACATGGGTATTTAATTTTGTTTTACAAAACATGGGTATTTAATTTTGTTTTTGGGCACAAACATTAACTTAAGCAAATTTTTTACTAACATTTTGGGTTTGATAGCGTTGTGTTAATATTGTGCGGTGTGAACATTTGCTGCCACTGCCATTTTATTTTACAGGGTCTGTGCTTTCAGAATGTTTTGGGGGTTTTACAGGAGAACTATGAGGGGAGCGATTTCCACTCATCCTCATAGTCAGTGCTGACCTGTGACATTGAAACTGTCACAGGTCGGCTCTATAGATCCGGAAGTGAGTGAACACATCGCTCGCTCACTTTCCTATCATCTTCCTGCAGAGAGCCGTGACTGTCACTGCTCCCTGCAGGGGTTCCTCCCTCCTGTCGCTGATCCTCTGGCGCTGACTGGAGGAGGGGGTGGGCACAGCTGGCTCTGCCTGTAGATAGGCAGATCCTGCTGTCACACGGCCAGCTGGGTGGATCTCGACAGTATTGTCGTGATCCGTCCCAGCTGAGCTGCTCTCAGTATATAGCAGGTAATAGCACTCGATATACTGATCTTTGGGTCACTGGAGGACGTTGGTATATGTCCTCCCGTGACCCTAAAGAGAACTATGGGATAAAAAGGTTACTCCATAGTTCTCAAGTAATTTTCAGGCTAAAATGTGGATTAAAACGTGTGCAAAAAAACTCCAAAAATGCCCATGGCAGCAAAAGGGGTTAAACCAAGGAGGTGACAGGAGGTACAAGAAGGAATTTTTAGGTTTGTGGATTGGATGGACATGTAAAAGCTTCAAACTATTTTGTTTTCTGATCTCGGTGATCTTTTCTTTTACAGCCGTGTGTGCTCAAACAGACATGGACTGATCCGCAAATACGGACTAAACATGTGCCGCCAGTGCTTCAGGCAATACGCAAAGGACATTGGCTTTGTCAAGGTAAGTCCAGTTTTATTGTCATGTCAACTTAACGTTAAATATAGATTACACCCTGAGATGAAAAGATTTAACTCTCACTACCAGAGCCATTTTAAAATGCTAATTTTAGGTTTGAGAATTACTTTAACCTTCCTGGCGGTATTCCAGAGTGTGGCTCGGGGTTAACTTTCCGTACCATAAGCAGTAACTCCTAGCCAGACTCGGGATTACAGCGTAGCGTTACTTACCCTGTCCCTTGATCCGTCTTCTGGGTTCCGTCCCTTGCGAGCGTCTGCGTCGCAGGGTGCGGAACCGGCGGGAATTAAAAAAGATAATCAGACCACCGGGGAGGTTAAACCCCCAAAATGTATTTTATGAATGCAGAGAACCTGAAAACCTCTGGGTTCTTATTTTATCGAACTCTCATATTTTTTCCTTATTACAGGATCAAGGGGGCTAATATGCTTTCTCTGATGGCATAGTGCAAGTGACTGGCTCTTAAAGGACACATCATGGGCCTCTGTACTCCTTTGAAGCTAAACAAGCTCTGAGTGCATTTAACTACTTTCCTGGGTACAGAGGGCAGGGAAAGATCCCTCTGAATCCAGTAGTGATCATAGCTTGCCGCTTCCGGGTTCATACTACCCAGGGGCGATCAGTGTTTTACTTGTCGTCTCGGCTCTCAATCATGGCGCCTGCCATAGAGGTCCTCGGCACACAGATGAAAAATTGAGCCCTGGATGGGGGTGGGTGGCAGTGGCGCCTTCTGCAGCCACTCAATCTTCTACTTGAAAGCAGATGGCCTACTATGAAAATGTTAACAAACCCTCGCCTGCTATAGTGGCCGCTGGTCTGTTTGCAGGTTGGTGCTGCTACTGATGTAAACCGTACAATGGTGAAAGGATTAAAAACCTGGATACTGGAATATGGAGGCGGCCATGCTAGCTGCCTGTGGCTTCAGTACGTGAGGCACTAAATTGGAACGAGCAAGCAGATCAGGAAAGCAAAACCACCTCCTGTATACAATAGTGCAAAGTCAGCATCTTTAAAGGGATGAAGTCACAAGTGACAAGGGAGCCGGCTTCCTGGCCAATGAGGAAGATGGGCAGAGTGTAATGACTAGCTTCCTGATTGGTTGGGAAGCTGGCCAATCAGGAATCTGGACTGCGAGTCATTACCTGCCACCTTGCTTTCTGATTGGCCAGAAAGCTGGCTGTGCTCTCGTCACCTGGTGATGAGAGAGCATGGAGCCGGCTTCTCGGCCAATCAGGAAGCCAGGCGTCGGGTAATTGTTGCCTGTAGTGAGCTGAAATACAGCACCTCTGTTGCTCTGATATCCCAAGCACTGCGAGTTCTCCTCTGTTGGATTACAGATCTCGTATCCTGAATACACTTTCTTTCCCCATTGAAGCAAAGCTGTTTCTATGACTTTCCTAGCACCTTTCCACACTGTGTAGGGAAATAGCTCTTTGGAGATGTAGTTCTGGGGGGTGTGACTTTGTTAATAGGAACTGATGTCACAGGGAGTAATGTCATTTCTTGGTACAGGAAAAGGCAAAATGAAAGGTTCTGGGTTGTGCTTTAGACAAGTAAAGGGATGTTTGGGGGCTACATTTTGTGTCACTCCTTTACCTGTGTTTTTGCCTTTCAGCTGGACTAAATGGATACTTATTTGGATAAGACCTATGGCCATAAACCCATACTTCAGATGACATGTGAAGTTGGTGCCGAAGACTTTGAAGAACAGGACATGGGCACAAAATTGCTTAACACCCATCAGTTGGTACCGAAGTCTTTTGAAGAACATACATGTGAATAAAATTGGTTTATACCCTACAAGTTTATTCTGTTTTGTGTTTTTTTTTTTTCTTTACACCCGAGTAGTAAGAGAAGTTATGTTGGCGTTTATTCTAAGCAGGGTTTTATACTTTCTGCTTTGACTTAACCAGGCCATGTTCGTCATGGTGCATCTTTACAACAGTCCACCTGATGCCTTAACAGTGGCATGGATTGGTTTAAAGGTGCCCATACACCTTTACGACCATCGCAAGACCTTTTGTCTTGCGATGGTCGTAAGCTCATTGAAAGCTCGTACGTTCTGCCCATCTTGGACGGGCAGATCGTACTTGCGATCATCGAAAGCCTGCCCTGCTGAGGGGCGGGCTTCCGATGACCGCAGTGAGGGGCGGGCTTCCGATCACTGCAAACGGGCAGTGTGCGCACACCGGCCCGTTCGGCATTTGTCGAACAAGCAGGCCACTAACCCGCCGAGAATCGTATGATTCTCGGTGGGTTTTCAAGCCTGCTTGTTCGACAGAAGACGTGCGACCGTACAGTAGAAACGGTCGCACGCCTTCCATACACTGTACGATCGCGGGATTTCCTGCGATTCTTGTATGAGAATCGTACAGTGTATGGGCACCTTTAGACTTCCTGGAGACAGGTGGGTCTGAGTGATGGGTGCCGGCTCCTTGTTTTGCCAATCACAAATGGTTCCAGAATTGATGTGCGCACACAGTAAATGGCTTTATTCTGTTCTATACACAAGTATTAGAGCTTGTTAACATTTCCCAAAATGCTAAACTGCCGTGGTATGATTCAGAGCCAGCATTAAAATACAGTAACTTGTATTGGCCCTGCCATGTTATATTACCAGTGAACAACTAAAGACAGAGACCCTGCATGAAGTATCTGTTTTTTTGGGGGGGTTGGGGGTTTGTATTATTACAATGTCCAATTGATCACGGCAAGAAATGCTCAGCTGTGGGCTTTGCGAATACTACCAGGCATTGTCTATCTGGGCAGAGAAGATGGGGTGGGGGGGACATAGCAGCACAATACCTTTTAATGTAAATGCGCCCTGTAAGCCCCACAGTGTCCAGTGCAAGCTTCACCCCTACATAGACTAGTATAGACCTTTCCCAATCAAATGCTTGTGCCTTGCACCTTTAACTGCCAAAGGCACACATAGGAAACATTGTACTAATCTGAATTCTGAGGGGCCCCTCTGACTGTTCTAGGCTATAACCAAACAGCTAGAGGACACCGAGTGGCACTATTTAATTAGTTGAAAATGGAGCTACATCCCATGCTGTGAGTTTTGGATCATTCCCTCAAACTCGGGTGTATTCTGTCATACAACGCTGTAGTTAAATGAATTTTATACCATTTTTTGGGGGGGACAGAGCCTTTTGGTGGTATTTAAATTAGCCAATTTTTGGTAAAATAAGAGACTGGGTCACGTCGGGTAAAAAGACACCAAACATGTTAAGCTTTAAAATTGTGCACGCCCAAGAAACTGAAAATTTGTGGGTTTTTAGTTATTACTATTGCATGTGGGGCTAACGATCCCTTTATGTGATCGCACAGGCACACAGGTCCTCTTTATGGAGACATTTCAAGACCTAATGTCACCAATGGCCCCCCCCCGGTCTATTTTTTTTTTTTTGGGTGGCAAGTACTTGCTTACATGAAATGCAATGGGACATGCCAGGCCCCTCATCCTCTGAATGTATATAATGGAACTGGTAATTTTAAGGCCTTTGGGCTTGTCAATGGTGTCCGTTTAAGACTGTTAACAGCTTATTTACTTCCACTTTAGTTTGGTATTCTTGTATGGGAATGTAAAAGCCTGTGCTCAGGCTTAAAGTGACAACAATAGTGTAATGTGCGCCTTACTGTAATCCATGGTAGTTTCCCTTTTGCTGCTTTAAGGTTCTTGAAGCGCTCAGTACAAAGTGTCAGGTCTTGTTCACACCAAGAGCAGTTGCAGACCGAATCAAAACTGCGTCCAATGTATTCCAAATGGTATTTTTTTGCTCCAGTTCACATTGCAGCGTTCCAGAGCAGGTGAAAAAACTGCTCTGGAACGCACTGAAAGCCCATGTTAAACAAAAACCTGAGCGGATCTGCTCTGCATTTGGTGTGAACAAGGCCTAACACATTTCATTCCTTTGACAAATCCTGTAGTTATTCATCTCTGGGGCTTGCTTTGTTTCAAACACATTAAAGTACATATGTGAATTTAAAAACTAAACAGGAAGTCTCGCTACCTTTTTAATATATACTGCAAGTCAATAAACAAAGCTAAAAGCGTTCCACAGTGGAATACTTCAATCTCATGTTTAGTTTACACATCTGTACTGAGATTGTAGTCCATCTCGGGAACGAGTTTGGAGCGGTGACTACTTTACAACACACACAGGGACCATGGAGAATAAAAGTAGCCCCCCTCCAGAAGGAAGGACAGTGTCAGCACCAATTCAGAGATGATTGGAGGATCTACTGCCGAGTGGCACAAAGATACATTGAGGGGAATTTATCAAAACTTGAGCACTGTGCATGACAACCAATCAGCTTCTCTGTTCAGTTAACATTTGAAAATGAAAGAGCCACTGATTGGTTGCCATGCACAGCTGCTCCAGTTTTGATAAATTCCCCTCAGTCTGGTTTGGGCAAGGTTCACACCTAGGAGACTATCTGCGCAGTTTTGTGCGCCATCAGGAGTGGCCAAGGTGTGAACTGATCGCTCTGTGGGTGCCATTATTTTTGAATGGCACCCCAATCACGTGGTATTCCGCCTGTGCAAGTGAACACTATCATGGGTAAAAAAAAAATACTCTAACAATTGAAATCAATGGGGCAGCAGGGCAATCGCGGTGTGCACCTAGCCTGAAGGTACGTGAATGCATTTTTAAGACGTAACTCCTGAGTTTAGTGTCACTTTAAAGGAGATGTACATTGTAAATGAACGACCTTTTAGATTGCTAATGTACTAGGCATTTTTTTTTTTTTAAACACGTCATCTTTAGTCATCCTTGGTTGCATCTCAGTGCTGATCTCCCACATCTACTTCCTGCCTACACTCCAGTGATGGCTGCATTGCATGTCTGAGGGCAGGTTTCCCGATGGTGACAACATTGATCATGTCTGTGTAATGTGCGAAAACAGCCACTTGTAGTCTCCATCGGATGCCTGTGTGACTCAAGCAAAATGTGGAGACTGCGACAGCGTATTGTCACCCTAAACAAAGAATGACTCCCAGAGAGAGATGCATCATGGGATTTGTAGTTTCACCACAGCTGGAGGGCCGGAGTCTGGCTACCCTTCATGTATACAATGCTGAACGTTCTCTATTCTGCACAGTGCTGGTTCTTCTGTCACCTAGATGCTGACATCATTATCACTGCCATGTCCTCTCCAGACCTTCGTCACCCACTATGGAATTCAGGATCTTGTAATATTGTGCTTTTTTTTCCCCCTGGGGAAGGTATTCACATTTTTACTATGGGGCCCTGTGAATTCTAATTACTCCCCTGCAAGCCATCGATAACCTTAGAACTAGGTGATTAGTGAAGGAAGCCTCCATATTTCTCTAACAGGTTACCTTTCATTGCACAGTGTGAGCTTCTCATAATGTGCGTTCGAAGCTGCAGAGAGTCAGAGGACACCTCATTTCCTGGATGGAGGACGTCCTGCATCATCTAGCCTTTTCCTTCCCAGCTGAACTCTCCCGCCCCTTTCATTCACTGAATTTAAGTTCTTTCAGTCATGGAGGCTCAGCGTCAGATATTGGAGTTCCTGTTTTCAGCATCCTATAGCACAGGGGGTAGCCAAACCGCGGCCCTCCAGCTGTGGTGAAACTACAAATCCCATGATGCATCTCTCTCCGGGAGTCGTGTCTGAGAATCTTGCAATGCCTCATGGGATTTGTAGTTCCACCACAACTGGAGGGCTGGAGTTTAGCTACCCTGCTATAGACGCATTACACCAGCCATAATCTGCCTGCATTCCATAGAGGAGCACAAATACCTATAGATGGTGCCATAATATCTAAAATAAGGTGTATAATAAAAAACAGTTGTTTCTTTTAATAACTTTATTAGCATGTTGATGAGATTAAAAAACGAGGAACCAAAAAGCAGCAAATCGAACAGGAATAAACGTCTGCTTTAAATGTGTTCTTGAAAAGACGAAGGCGAGATGACAACACACAGGCACAAAGCAGGTCAGTGGGGTTGTGCGTTTTTTATTTTTTTTTTCCTTTTCAATGGAGAAATACATAATCTGTTTACAAAATAGCTTTTGAAAAATACAAGGAATACAGGTACTATAAAACAAACCAAACTCCAGTCATAGGACAATACATACATCATGCGGAAGCAAACAGTCTGATCCTCAGGTTGTGGAAACAAGTTAAAACTTAAGTTCGAACACAAAAAGAGAGGGCAAAGGAACGAAAAAAAAAAATCCAGGTTTTAAAGAAAATAAAAATAAAGTTTGCTTTAAAAGAAAAAAAAAAAAAAGTGTACACTTGCTATAAAGTTGTGGACTCGAATAAAATGGGACAACCAAAATTTCCTTTATCTTCTGTAAACAAATGACTATTCTGATCTGGTGTCTGATGCAACTACGTGGAACGCGTAAGCCTTGCATGGGTTCGTTGTAAGGGTGTTCAAATGCCGTGTGAGGATCATAAGATAAGAACCATTATGAAACAAAGGGGTGTGGCCTGTGGTCAGTCTTTATTGCAGAGGCTTAAAAGGGGAAACATAAGCCCAAGTCAGACTCTGGAAAACACTTGGGGTTGCTCTAGTAGACTTATTTTAAAGGGTCTTTTTTTTTTTCTTCCAAAAAACCCAAAACACAGAAAAATGTACATGCGCGAGGTGGAAGAAAAACAGTGGACCGGTACCACGCTGCCTCCAGAGGGGAGGGGGCAGTCTTGAGAAACAAGCGTCATCGAAAAAAAGGTGCAGACTGCATTATTTTAATTTTAAACTAGCTATGACGGTACGACGAACACCCCTTATGGATACACTTCCTATATCCTACATAACTTCCAGGACAGATTACAGCTTCAATTCCAAAACAAAATGGCAGAATGTTACAAAAGAAAAAAAAAAAAACTGCTAGATGGACGACCAGCAACATTTCCACCATTTGTTCTCTAGCTTAGCTCAGCTAGCGCACTCATTGCGGCAAGTCTAAATAGAAGTCGCCTATAGAAAACGTTTATATCTGATTGAAAATCAGTAGAACGTTCTTACTGGCCATCACAGGTCACGTGACACGTACTTCTCGCAAGCTTTCGAACTGTGATGAGCGTAGACAGTACTTTGACGATTCGGGTTTAATAACCAACTGTACGTCACATGGTCATGAATGATTAAAAAAAAAAAAATCCCTTCAATTGGCCTAAATTGTAGCGTCAACCCTCACATTATAATCTAATGGTTAAGACGAAAAACAGCAAAATGTTCACTTTCATTTTCAGTAAAGCCATCGGGAAAAAAAAAAAAAGACAGACATCCAGTGTTGGGACCCAACATGCACAACTCTAAGCACGTGAAAGAAAGCAAAGGACGATTTAAAAGAAACCCGTGTAAAAGATCCTCACTACTGTTAAAAAGGAACAGGTAACATAAAAGTGCATCAGCTATGACTTTTTTTTTAGTTTTTTTTTTTAGGCCAATTGTATTGTCGATCTTTGCAAAAAAGAGTTACACAAACTAATTACTGGATACAGATAGAAACATGATCAGTCTCACCGGCTCGCTCTCTTCTGGACTGGAGTCCTTTAGTAACGCTCATCATCTTTTAGGATTGATGGCAACCTGTTAGTTGAGCTTATTCCCATCATACTAACCTGGGGCCTCCTGGAAAAAGATGGTTACAGCCCAATAAAAAGGAGTCTACGCAGTGTTCCCATCACTCATGTTCTCCTCGTCGTCCCTCCTTTCCCTGGAGAGACCACGCAGTTTATCTGGCAATAGGTTGGTTATGGACCCTGAGGTGTTGAGATTGGGAGGAGTTTTATCGGTTCAGTCTTAGCTTTATAGAATTCTTGATAACTGGAATTGGATTAGCCGGGAGAGCCGGAACATCCGAAAGGTCTGCGCTGGACGATTGCTGTAGAGTAATGAGAGGTTGAAGAGAAAAAAAAAGTGAAAGCAAAAGTATAAAAATAAGTTATTTTTAATCCCAATTCACAGACATTCCAACAACGACTGAGCCACAAGGTGTTCAGGCTCGGAAATAATTGTATTAGCTTTTTTTAAAAATATTTCTGTACTTATAATATAGCTATAATAAGCTTAAACGAGAGCTATGGGGGTAAGTGTTTTTCCCCACAGTTCTCTTTAGGGTCACATACTAACATATACTAACCTCCTCCTATGACCCAAAGCTCAGTATATAGCGAGCTACAACTTGCGGTATACTGAGACCGCCGCAGCCGGGACGGATCCCAACAATACTGTCGAGATCCACCCAGCTGTGTGATTGACAGCCGGCTCCTCCTATCTAAAGGCAGAGCCAGCTGTACCCGCCCCTGTCCGTTCCTCCAGTCAGCGCTGGAGGATCGCAGGAAGGGGGGGATCCCTATGGGGAGTGATGACTGACAGTCACGGCTCTCTGCAGGGAGATGAGCGAGCGATGGTATGTGTTCCCTCACTTCCCAATCAATAGAGCTGACGTGTGACAGTTTCATTGTCACATGTCAGTTCAAACTATGAGGATGAGCGATTTTCACTCACCTCATAGTTCTCCTTGAAGGCTACATTCACACTGTGCGATTTGGGATTCTTGTGGCATGAATCTCAAATCTACCCTTTAGATGCGGCCACTGCATCTATCGTGCATCCAGGGACAGTGATCAATTTGAAACCGCATGTAAATCAGATCATATACGATTACATGTGGACTGCTTACAGATGCGGCTGCTGTCACCCAGTCATTAATTTGAATGGGTGACAGCGGCTGCATCTAAACGTGACATTTGGGATTCCTGTGGCAGAAATCCGTAGATCCTAAATCGCATAGTGTGAATGAGGCCTAAACCTTCTCTTCCATGTACTTCCAGGTGCCTACATGCCAGGTATGTTGTTCTACCAGGATCCCTGAACAGCTGTGTTGTCCTGCATAGCAGCTCCTTGTCGCTGGCAATGGTTCACTCCGTCGAGCGTCACAATATGACTTTGTGAGAAGGGAGAGGCCAGAATCTGGGAGCAGGAAATGAGCATTTTAGTTTTCTTTCTTGGCAGATGTTTGCTTTCTATGTCTAGACATTGTAAACCTTGATTGGTGTCTCTCCTAAAAACAGCAAGAGGCCACATCCCACATTAATAAACAAATTACAAAGGCTTAGTTTTTTTGCCTAGTGTCCATTTATCCTAGAGGCAGCATAACCCTATGACTCAGAATTCTTCGGAGCGGAGTCCCTCAGTAGACAGTAGAGAAAAGAGGGATTCCCAAAGAGCTGATCTGTTTCACCTGACATAATACCAGGCTGTCTGCAAGAGGCTAATGTCACGCTTGTTCCACTTGTTATAAAATGCCCTTCGATACAAGGCGATGTCTAGTATGCTGAAAATGATTCCCAACCTGCCAAAGCATTACTCTGATATACCTGAGAAGATGGCAAAGCTCCCGGAACTGGAGATGAAGACATTTCATCCATTTCATTCTCCTGAAAGAACAGTACATGAACAAACAGTGAAATGTGACAAAAGATGAACTACTGAATGCAAACATTACAAATAATAAAAGGCAAGATACATCATTAGAGCAGCTCAGGAACAGTCACAAGGTCTGCCATGGATCTTCCAGCAGTGTCAGCCAACAGATCAAGAAAAAAGTGTTTCTTAAAGCCCAACTCCAGTGAAAGTATTTTTCCCACCCCTCCCTCCGGCTGCTTTCACAACCAAAACAGCAACCTGCAATGGATAGGATACGGTTTCTGGCTGCAAGAGGTGAATATGAACTAGTAATGTGTATTTCAATGTATCTT